TTATTATGCCGAGGTATTTGCAGGTAAGTGATATAAAGCCGATGAAAAATGGTTCCGGCTAATGATTTGATATAAAGTCGATAAAAAATGGTCTCGACTAGTAATTTGATATAAAGCCAATGAAAAAATGGTTCCGACTAGTGATGTGATATAAAGCCGATGGGAAATGGTTCTGGCTAGTGATGGGAAATGGTTCCGACTAGTGATATTGTGCCGATGGAAAATGGTTCCGGCAAGAGATTGATTATTGTGACTTGATGTATTTGATGTATTTAACTTGCTTGATACTTGAGATTTTCGCTTATGGAAAATGGTTCCGGCCGATGGAAAATGATTCCGGCTAATGATTTTCTCTTTTCTTTCGTTTTCGTTGGGTTGAGGCTGACTTGTCTTGGTGGGAAAAGACAAGTATCATCACGTCCATTTTTATATCGTGACACCGAAATACCAAAATCTTTTTACCTTCATAAAATTAATTTTGCACTTGATTTGTATCTTTTATTTGGTGAAAGTTAATATACTTATGGAGAAAAAGGTGTCTTTTAGTTACACCACTTTCATTTACCCTTTTGTTTTTCAAATTAGGGTATGGTTGGAAAGCAACTTGATAGTTGAAATTGGTGTAATTATTAGGATAGAAATTATTAGTATATAAATTACACAATCTAATAATTACAATAATATGTTTGTTTGTCACAATATAATTACATTATAATTATAAGTGTAATGGTTGATTGCACAAGTACAACCATAATCTTATATTAATTTTTTTAAAAAAAAATTAATTATCTAAAATTAAAATTTTATATTAAAAAATAAGTCTTTATAAATGATATTAAATTAAATATTTAACATATATTTTATATTTTTTAAAATGTATTAATTAATAAACATATGTTGTTAGAAAAATAATTGATTTGTATATTTTTCAAATTAGCATATTTTAACTAAATGAATCATAAAACCTAAAAGTACAAGATTTCTATGAACATCGTGAAATGCTTGTTTGATAAAAAGATTTATATTATAAATATAATGGCATAAAATTATTAAAACCCTTAGAAAAAGATAATCTATCTAGTCTAGCTAAAAGATAAATGGTGAAATATCAAATCAATACTACTAAAACAAATGGAACTGAAAATATAACATAAGTTATAAATTCAAAACAAAATATTTACCATAATACTCTTATAGTATCATTGACTATTGAGTAATTTCTGAACAAGAAACCTTAATCATACCAATACAATATATATATATATATATATATATATATATATATTGATCTAGTATCAATTAAGCAAAATTATTAACCTTAGATACCAATACAGTCCAATTCAATCCAAATTTGTTTGGGTCAAAATGGATTAGGTAATGGATTGTATAGCGGGTCAAGACTCAACTCCATTTTTACTAAGATTAATTGTTTTACTTGATCTTTTAAAATATTTTAGTATCTAATAAAAAAAAATCTTTATTATGGCTATATGACATATCAAACTGAAAATAAAATAAAATAAAATATTTTGACAAGATTTTTCATTAGCCAATTTAGGTTACATATCAACCCAACTTTTAATGGGTTGAAATGAATTGGATTGAGCTAATGAATGAGCGGGTCAAAAACCCACCCATACATAATTGATTAGGCGGTTGGACGGATTAGATTTGATTTTGTCACCCCAACTCCTTAGTTTATTTAACTACAGCTAGAACAAACAAGAGAAATATGATTTGGTCGAATTAAAGAAAAAACTTCACCTATGGACTTATTTTGATTATGTGTGGACATGATATGAAATTTCATAATTGAGCTTTTTAGAGAATTTGAGATTTTATCTCATGATTTCAAATCACGAGATGAAATCGCATGTCCAAATTAGGTGTGTGCACTAACTGGATTAAACCGAAAAATCAAATCAAATCAAACTGAAATCTAATTTGGATTGAATTAAACCAAACCAAATCAAACTGAATTCTAATTTGGATTGATTTTTTATTTATTTTTATTAGGTTTTAGTAATTTATTTTGTTTGATTTTTTGGTTGGTTTCTAATTTAAAAAAATAAAAAATTTGAAAAACTAAAATAATTTATTTATATATATTCAAATTGCAAATATAACTGATTATTTTTTAATTATTGACATAACTAAATAATCGAATCGAAAAAAATCATACCGAAAAGAGAAAAACCAAACCAAACTAAATTTATTATGGTTTGAATTGGATTACACTTCTTCAAAATCAGAAATTGAAAAATTCAAACCAAATAATACAAAATCAAATCAAAAAACTGAATGCACACCCCTAATCCAAACACCTACTTATTGTTTAATTTTACTCTCATTTTATTCGCATCATAAAAGATTTAACATATTTGAAATATATACGCTACTTGTAACATAATTCAAACTAATTTAATTGGTTGACCTAATAAGCAAATTTTTGGATAATCAAGTTTACCAAAAGAAAGAAATGTTGCCTAAACAAATTTGTGTGTTGTAATATCTTTGACAAAACAAACATTATGCCCCTTCATCTTATTGTGAAAAATACTCAAATTAAACGAACAAATGTAGATAGGGCAAAGTAAATATAAGTTGAGTTTAATACACATTGAATTGAAGATAATACATATTGGAATCTTCTTTTTTGGAAAATGTGGAATGTTGTATAAAGAAGCAAGCAAAATTTATGGTGAGAAGATACTTCATGTCTTCTCACGTTGCCATGTCCAACATATGTGTGACATGGTCATGGGGATTTGATCACCAATAAACCACTTGATCTACTAACGGTCAGAGCACATAACTTATATATAAAAAAATACTACTATTGAAGATATATATATATCTTATTATATCTATATGTTGAATGTGTGTCTCTTATTGATTGTGTCTTGATGTATAATTAAATATATAGAAATAAATATCTTAAAATTTTAAGTACATGTACTTCACACATCAGCCAAATGTGGAGTTTTTTGGACAGGAATTTTCACTCTACCACCACCAAGACCCCATTGTGTTTGTCTATTATTATACTTTTGGGGTGTGTTTGGTATCGGCGGGGGGAGGGGGGGGGGGGGTATTGGTTAAAATATTATGAAAAATGTTTTTCTTAGAGTATTTGTTTAGATTTTATATATGTGTTTTAGCGATAATATTTTTGTTATTTATTGAATATCAACAATACTATTGAAAGACTCACTTAGTCACTTTTAGTGTTATTGTGTATTTTAATATTAGAAATTTAAATTAGTAAGTATAAAGTGGAGAAAGTGGAGTCATAATTCTTTGTAACTCATGTAACCACAATGACATATTTTTTTATTATTTTATATTAATTGCCTCCACTAATCCTCAAATAACTATCCATATTCTTGACATTTATTTGTGAAAGAAATTCTATAGCTATATAAATAATGTTTTCTTCTTTGTATTGAATCGATGAAAAATACGAAAAGTGAATGAAAAGTATTATAAAGTGTTTATATTTCAAGATTACTATAGTGAAAAATAGAGCTGAGACTGTGGAGTTTTGGACTCTTCAACTAATTCGAAATTCTTTGAATCATACAATGTTGTTGGATTGTTGTATCCTAGAGAAGAGAAGTCAAAAGTTATATTATTGAATCGATGATGATTATGCTATAGTGGAATTGACTTTTCTTAAAGAGAGCGAGATATACACATCAACCTGCGACACGAATTTTTTCCTCGAAAATATATTGATTTCATGCCAAACACAGTCTTACTATACTACTAAATAAGTCGTTACAATTTTTAAGTTGAACACGTTACCTGCCAGCTGAATGGTTAATAGTTATTCCAACAAAATGATGTCTACTTCTAGCAAAAGGATACTGTGGTCCTCATTAAATATTCTCTTACATTTTAGTTTTCCACCAAAACGATGAGTAAATTGAATTTATTTTTTTCCTAGACACAATGCATTTATATATGAAAGTAATTACTGAATTTATACCATTAATAATAATATATTTGTCAAAAGGTTATTCCATCTTTTAGCTGCTTTCACATGAGCAATAATCAGATCTGAATCTAAAGAAAAAGTTACTCCATTTTCAAATTAAATTTCTCTGTTTAGCTTTGTATCCTGATTAAGAAAAGGGGTTAAAATTATTACTTACATTTATTTTCTAAATCTCATTTATTAATTTAGGTTTAGTTCACCAATAAGGGTTGTGGTGGAGTGGTAACTGGTAAGTACTATTTCATCCTTAACTAGAGGTCTCAGGTTTGAATCTTCTTGGGTATGATGTTGTCTTTGTTAGGGAGCATTTTATCTCCAATATGGAACTTTTCGATATAAATTCAAATTTAATCGGACTCCAATATGAATATCAGAAAACAAAAATTTTAGGTTTAGCTTGACCCACTATTTAACTTGTGAGTGATATATATGAATGATGATGTCGTAGGAAGTAAGACTAAACTGCAGTCCAAGCACAATAATGCTCTACTTTCACCCACTAAAGAACACCTATAATACCTTAACACGAGCCTCCCTGCCGCCCCACCTATAATTTAGTCATATTGAATATTTATTTTTTTATACATGAGTCATTTGTATAATAGTAAGAGTATATATGAGTCACATTTATAACGAAGGTATATCAATTCTAAATGACAAAGTGTTGAAGGTATATCAGACCATTTTCCTTCTTCTTTTTTTAAGTACTTGAGTAAGAACTATTATTAGTATAGTTTTTTAAAGACTTAAAGTGAAAGTTCATAATAGGAATGAAAAAAATGATCAAAATAGAACATTCAATAACTTATAATATTTGTTTTTTCTTAAACATTAGATATTGACCTCATAAACACAAGAAGAAAACATAGTCAAATATTTAGTTATCTTTTTATAAGAAATTGTTATTCCTTTTTTAATATAAGAGACCTACGAGATCTGAAACGATCATTTTCTTCTACGTAAAAGATTATCTTAAAAATGCCACTTGACACAAAATTGTAGGGAAAAAGCATCATTCTCTTAGTGATATACATATGGTGAAGGACATTGATTATATACAAGTTACAATTGTGGTTAAGTAAAGACTTTGAAAACAAAATTACACTCAACCACCGGCTGCATTTGCTTGCCGGGGTGGCCTAAAACCATAGTAAATTTACATTTACCAAACTATTACTTCTTGTAATAAAAAAAAAGGTTTGAATTGTTAGCTAGTGTCACAAAAATTTCCATTCATTTGGTTTTGTACTGCTTTGATAGCAGCAACTCTAGCAGCAGTGGCAGCTCTATTCGCAGCGGTGACTGCTTTTTTCACTTGTTCATCTACTCTCCGTAGTTTAATTGCGTTTTCTGCTGCCTTCCTAGCAGCCTGCAGAGATCAGACAATGACAATTCAAACATTGAGGGATCAGTATATGCATATGCATCAACAGACTAAGGTTAAATGCGCATTAAATGACGCGAAAAAACTGTTTTTTTTTTACCTGAACAGCTCGAAGGACAGCATCAGTTAGTGGGGGCGATGGAATTTTCAAATTGCCAGAGTCCCATTCCCCACATCTTGTGTCACCATTTCTAAATGTATACATTCCGTAACCTTGCTTCCGACCTTCATGCCATGACCCTTCATAGCAATGCCCGTTCGCAAAATGATACACACCAAAACCATGAATCTTATCTCCGAAATATTCACCTGCATACCAATCCCCGTTCCTGCATAACATATCTCCGTTTACATAACCTTATAATTCAACCAATTCATCAAACGAGACAAAAATCATGAAACAGGATATTGCATTTTAGGAAAGCATGATCCGATCCATCACTAACAAACAACAATAGATGCAAAAATCATACAAAATTATGTTCCTGATCCATCACTAACAAACAACAATTAACAGTACTAAAATAGTAAGCAAGCCAAAAATTACAGCTAGCACTATCGAACACGAATAACATACAAATCAGATTCCAGCCATGGAACAACTGGAAAGTTGTTATTTTACCTGAAATGGTAACAGCCAAGGCCATGTTTGACTGCGCATTTAAATTCACCAATGTAAGAGCTACCATCAGAGCAAGATTGTGAGCCAACACCATGGCTTTGACCATTACACCATTGACCAGAATAGGTATCTCCTGTATAGAACTTGTAAACACCATAGCCATGTCTCAATCCTTGCCTGTATTGTCCTCGATATTTACTACCTCTAGCCCAACTCTCTATCCCATACCCATCATACTTCCCATCAACCCAATCACCTTCATATCTTCCCTTCACAAAATAGTTGTAAACTCCACTACCATTGCACCTCCCTTTATGATACTCACCTTCATAGATATCCCCATTGCTGTAAAACTCAACTCCTTCCCTCACGACCTGGTTTTCATTCTCAGATTTTCCCTCTTTATGCCCCAATTTTGTTTCCCCAATGAACCACTGAACCGGTTTCGAGTGGGTTCTCTGAAACCCAAACCGTTTCCCATATTCATCAAACAAGTTCCTAAACACATTATACCTTTGGTGAATTGACTCCCTGTTCTTCCCAGCGAAGAACAACAGAACCGCTACGAAAATCAGAGCTAACAGGAGACTCTCTGACGTGGGTATATCATCCCTGCTAAAGAAAACGAAAAGGGTATACATTAAAACCACCGAAACTACCAGAACCGGACCTATCCTCGCCGGAGCCGATCGGAACGGCGAGAAAAACGAACCCCGACGAATCGGAGTCGAACCGGGTTTATGCGGCTTCTGCTCTTCAATATCCGGTTCATGGTCAATTCCGAATTCATTAATCGACGAAAAGCTGTGAATTGACGACCGGATAGTTGGAGAAGACCGGAGAAGTGAAGACTGTGTCCTCGTTAGCTTCGCCTGGCTTTTCTGACCGTCCATTTTCAAGTACCTAAAATCTCACCCGTTGAATCTTTAAATTTTTTCTCAAACTTCACTCTCCCCTTCGATACCTAGATATTTTCAACTCCAACGCCGGCTTCATTTCTCAGGCGACCGGAGTGGCGTAGGATAAGTAGTGAACAAGTGCGAAAGTTAAAGCAGGTTTTTTCTTGGGAAAAGTGTATAATTTTTGAGAGAGATGAACAGAATGAGATAGAGAGAAGACCGGGTTTTATTTGAGATTATGGAGGCACTTAGATTTAACGTGAACCGTTCATTTAAATATTCAACGGTTAGATCTAAAGGAGTATTATTAGCCGTTAGATTAAGTTCCCGGTTTCGACGGGCAAGGTTTGGTCGTGGGATCTAGATTCCACTTTTTTTTCGCTTTATTCACTGTCGCAACCCCGGCACGTTCCCCACTGTCAACTTTCGAGTTTAAATTATTGATTCGATTAATTTAAATTTGAATAAATATAAATAATTTATTCAGTTTATGAGTAATTATTTTTTTTAATTGTCAGTATGATTCTGATCTGCGTAACGCTAAGACAACTTTATGGTATAAACTTATTAATTGGTCATGTGTACTCTTTCTGTTTTTTTGTTTTAAAACCAAAATTTGGACAAGAGTCTTGGGTCGAAGAAGTGGTCTTCAATGAGGACAGATTCAAGAAAATAGTTAATTATAAATTCTTTTTGGTAGTATATATTATATTATTTATTTTCGATTAAAATAAAAATAATTTGTGGTAGGAAGGCGGAAAAATGGGCTCATTAATATGATTTAATGATTCTTTGGCAGTTTTGAAATATAATTAATTAAGTTTCCTATTTTACAAGGAAAATATGTGTGACAAAGAGATCTAATTGAAAAAACACCTTACTATTTTTATACTCTGAAAAATTGATATTCCAGTTGTATACGGAAATTAAAAAATAGTATAGTAAATTGTTTTACAAGATTCAAACATCGATAAATAATATAATTAATTTAAGTTGAAAACCAGGCTACCTAACAATGTACAAAGAAAAGAAAAAGATAGGACAATCCCTCCGCTAGGTTTTGAATTTCATGTATTTGCAACTGTTATAAGAGAGCAGTTTCGATACGTACATAAAGCATTTCGTATTAGTAATGTCAAAATAAGGATCGTACCTTAAAGAGTGAGACTAGAAATGTATGCTTTTTTTAAAAATCCCCCTATATTCATCTCTATTCGCTATATTTGAAGGGAGAAAAGTAGAGATGAACAACTTCAAGCTATTTGGCTATTTTTATTTATTTATTTTCCTCTATACACTATATTTGAAGAGAACTATTATTCATTATCTCTATCTTTATTTCTTTTTATTATTATTTATTATTATTATTGTTATTATTATTATTATTTTTTTTATTTTTTTTTATTATTATTTTTATTATTAATTATATTATATGACATTTTATTTTAACATATTATAAGCCATATAAGACTATTAATTAAGTATTAACATAAGCATTTTTAGTCAGCACATTAGAGTCTTGTGCTATTTTGATTTTCATGAGTGTTTTTTTTAAAAATAATTTTATTCTCGTAGAAAGCGGGTTACTTTTACATTCACATATGTGAAATTTGTCAAGTGTACTCCTATAATTTGACACTCCACTCATACAAGATACAAATTTTTATTAAGAGTTTGAATACTCAACCTCTACAAATCATTATAGGATAAATGCACTTACATCATAGGGAGAGAATAAAATAAATATATAGTGCATCTCACAATAAGTCACTATATGATTTTTGTTTCTCCCATTCATGAACCTGGTTATAGTGCTTCTAGTCCTCGAGTTGAATACTCTTATATATGACTCAAAATTTATGAGCTTCAAGCTCATTGCCCTCAATGTGTTTCAGATGATTTGTCTTGTCAAAGTCTTGGTTAGTTCATCTGTAAGATTAGTAATAAATTTTGATAAATTAATATTAATGGTATATCACTAATCAATATGTTCTCACAATATTATATTTTCTACTCATGGGTCTGAGTTTATCGTTATAATAACGATTTGATACTCTATCAATAATATTGGTACAATCAGAATAATTAATCAAATTAGAATAAATAAAGTGTTTGATATAATAAAATCAATTCACCTTTCACTAGTTGAAGCTAAGAAAATACCTCAAACCTTCTTTTTCAACTGCATCAGCAATACTAAGTCAAGTGTAGTTAGTTACATATCTTGTATTTTTTATTAGACTAACAAATTTTATTTTACTTTTTATATTTGTCGCAACATGTTCACAAAATTGAAAAAAGGAGTTGCAAGACTTATACAATCAACACAATTGTATTTTATAATTTTTTCAATATAATGTGATTTGTCAAAAAAAAATAATCATATCATGTTTTATATAGTATTTTTCATTGCAAGAATGAAGTTTACCTCACCCAAGTATTTCATATCAAAATGACTACTGAATATGCTTTTTATAGTTTCTTTTATAACACATGTTAGAGGCAAAAATCAAATCATATACAAACAAGAACATTTGCAATCCTTCTATTTTTTTTAGCATTTCTCAAAAATGCAAAATTTCATTTTTCATGATGAATTTTTTTCTCATTTCATGAATCCCCACTATTTCTAAGATTTAAATATCATCTTTTTGTTTCTGAAAAGTAGTATCACTTTATTATGAACAATATTAGGTTAAATTTTTTTAACCTGTTCTCCATTTGATGAATTTTTTTCTCATTTTATGAATCCCCACAATTTCTTTAATTTAAATATCATCTTTTTGTTCATGAAAAGTAGTGTCACTTTATTATAAACAATATTAGGTTAAATTTTTTTTAACCTTTTCTCCATTTGAATTGATTAAATAGAAAAAATACTTTATCCGTCTATGTTTTCTCTTTCATCTCTCGAAGAAATTTGGCAATGTTGAAGCGAGATGATGTTGAGATCTCCTATTTTGATTTTTTCTGCACTTTTTCAAATTGAAACTTCTTAAATTGTTGATATATATACCACAAATTATAATAAATTACAGTTGAAAATAAAATAAACATAAATAAATGACACTTTACTAGTCTTACCCTTGGTGCCCTCAATCTTCAAATATTGGATTTTCCTCTGCTTTCTAGAGATCGGTAATATTATTTTAAAGAAATTTCGTAAGTAGCATAAGTTGTGCTCAACTATACGAAAAATTGCAAACTTTTGCTAATTGCAAAATGTAACATTACTTTTGATCTCAAATGTAGCGAAATATATTGTATATGGGTGCATAATAATAGTGAAACACATTGTATCAACATGCATGATAAATATATACGTATGTATACAATATCTCTATAGCGAAATACATTGTATTTGCATGTATAACAATAGTTAAGATACAATTGTATTCACACACTTAATAAGTATATTCATATGTATACAAATATCTCTATCTAACAATATCGCACGGAGTATTTATGTGTATATCAACTATAAAACCACAAATTGTCATTATATTATATAATTTGTTTAAAAACCACCACTATTTCGAATAAATATAAATTTTAATTCATTGTGTTACTTACTTAATTTATTACTCTTTATGTCCCAATTTATGTGGCACTTTTCGTTTTTCGAGAGTCAAATAGTTTAAGTTTGACCGGTATTTGCGCATGGAATCTACCATTTTTAAATGAAATTTATATATTTATAAACTACGTTGTAAGAAGCACAAGATCTAGTTGTTTTGAAAAATGTCAAAGAGTCAAGTTGCATAGAACAAGTCGTATCAACATGTTCCAGCTAATCCAATTCTAATTGGGAAAAGGTTTTGGAAATAAAAGTGGCTTATAGTTTATTAGGAGGAGTCCTACATAAAGCAGGAATTCTACACGTGAGCTTCTAGGTTTCGTGGAAAAAGGAAGCAGAGCACGATCGAGTAGGATTTCTAGTTAAGTTCGCGTCAAACAATGCTTTGAGGCGGTGAAGACAAAGTTGAGTGAGTTTTTTGATCTATAAATAGGGGGTTATTTTCATCAGAAAAATTGCGCACTTACATTGAGAGAAATATCAAAATACAATCAAGAGTTTTTTGTGAGAGTTTTTATTTTTTTATTTTGGGGAGTGCTGCGAGTTGAGAGAAATATTGTACGATTGTAGTCAAGAGTTTTTGAATACAATCAAGTGTTTTCTGAGTAGGTTTCGTTTGACAAGTTTGAATAACTTGAATAACGATAGAAGATTTAAACCTGGGGTTTTTTGTTTTGGGTAGTTAGGAATTAGAGTTTATAATTCCTTAGGTTACATAACTTTGTAATCATTGTGTTATTTGAAGGTGTTATAAATAATACAAAGTGTTGAGCAAGGTGTTATACGAAATTGTTTATTGTTAAGCTTTAAATAAAGAGGAATAAGTAGTGAGTACGTGTTCTTATAGAATTCAGGAGGGTAGAATTTCAACAAGTGGCATCAGAGCAGGTCATCTTAACAAAGTCTTATAACTTAAGATAAGATTATCATGAATTCTATACCTCCTCTTGGACATGGTCAGGGACAACACATCAACAGGGCTCCATTATTCAATGGACAATACTACTCATGGTGGAAGACAAGGATGGAAGACTTCATTCAAGCCGAAGATTACGAACTATGGGTTAGAATCACTGATGGACCGCTAACTCCTACTGTTACGGATAGTGAAGGAAACACTATACCAAAACCTAAAGAAAAACACGGAGAAGCTGACTACAAGATGCTTGCCTCCATGACTAGTTTAAAGTTTGAGTATATTGATCTCAAAAAATTCAACAGTGAACTACAGGAGAAAACCAAGCAAGTATTGCAGAAAATTCAGCAACTTGAAACCTGTAATCTAGCACTAAAATCTGAAAATATAAAACTGAAAATTCTTGGTAAAGAAAAGGCGTGTGATCAACCCAAGCATGAACATGAAGTCAATAAACTCAAAAACGACTTAAGCTTGAAAAAAGAAAAATCTAGAAGAATGAATCTTGAATTGTCCAGGATAAAAACTGATCTGGAAAGAGAAAATAAATGACAAGATCATCCATGATAGTCACACATCTGGGTAACAATACTCGAAACATCAAGGTTGGAATAGGTTATGAGAAATCTCAAAATGAAATTCCTCTATTTTGTAATCTCTGTGGTAAACTG